ATCCTCTCACTCACCGTTGCTTTCCGAGGGTCAGTCAATCGTTTCAATCAAAATGGAGCTTTTGATATCCACCAAAGCTCTTTATCCTTCCTTAGGCTCCTCAATATCTAGCATCTGAGGGATTTGCGTGCGTCGTCACACTTGCTGTCTGCTGGTATGCATTAATCAGGACCAGCAATCTGGACGACATCCAACGGACAGTTGATCATCTCGGAGAAGTCAAATAGGCAGCACCGGAAGCCGCTGGCATAGCTCCTTTCAAATTTTGCCATGCTTCGTCCATGTTCTCATTATTAGTACGGTGTTGGCTTGCTGTAAATATAGTTGAGCTAGTTCATTTCGATACTAATGAGCTGTGGGAGTTCTCCGAAGATAGTGGTTTCGCATGGTCCTTGCTGACTAGCGAGTGCCTAAAGGGAAGTGAATTGTCAGACGTCCTCACACCCTAGCGTAACCGGAGTCAAGTTGTTTGCTCCAGAAGGAACGACAGTCTTGGTTTGTGGTACTTCACCGGTGGCTGATGGGAGACAACCGTTGGGACAACCGTTAGTTTGCACTCCGTGGCCGTCAGATTAGGCGATGCGAACGTTTAGGCTGAAGGTCCGTACTGGCCAGAAACAGTTGAATATATGCGTACTACCGTAGAGGTCGCACTTCACTGTCTGTGCGACGAGCATCTACTCCAAATCCACAGCACAGGTGTGATTCCAATGAGCCCGAAATATGGAAGATCTGAGTCCGTCCTTGACGTTTTGAGATCCATAATCACGCTCGGACGTTGCATACGCGTCTCAGAGGCAGAGCATATATCAATTGTGAGCAATATAGGGTCTCGGAAAAACTACCTGGTTGCCAAATTGAGGTCGGTTATGGACGTTGAAGGGAAACATCTAGTGGATTAAGCAGTTATTTAGTTTAACAATATGGATAGGGCAGTGTTTAAGGCATATCGATAAGACAACTAGTAATCAAATGACCCAGCAACGTCTGCTTGTGTGGGGTGCGAAGAGGTTACGGAGAGAGATCGCTGGACAACTGTGGGAAACTAATACTTCCGGGTTTCCGGGGCTGAGGGAGGGGGTTTCGTTGTGATACCCCATCTTGAGCTCTTGACTCAAAATTGTGACTCGTGAGGCACCGGGCAGTGGAATATTTTGGGGCTCCTTCCCGAAGCCGATGGCTCACGTCTGATCTGCTCTGTGGCATGTGGCTGACCTAACTGGAGGGCGTAAGGAGTAAGCAATTACCGTCAAGCTCCTAATGCGGTTGCGCACAGTAGGTGGGTTTTGAACAGCACAAAACGCTTCGGTTTTAGAAGCATTCCAATCGTGTTGTTGGCGGTCACCGTCAACCATTAAAAGACCTGAGTGTGTGCCTTTCAGAGGCGACATCTTCTAACTCGGGGAAGGAAAGCACCGCTAATTCATGAATATGGACAGGTTGGTATCCCGGGGAAACACCTTACTGCCTTCAAAATCTCTTAGCAGAGGACAGTACAACTTTACTCTTAGGCAGCCTGCCTATATGATTACTCGCAGTGCGGAGTCTCGCTGCTCATGGTTCGACTGCCCCAATCGGTTCTTCGTGGCATAGTTGCTCCTTGTGGGACGATGCTCCAGCCAGTGTTGCTCACTGCAGCACTCGAGCCCAACCAACACAACAAGTTGGTAGCTTCAGGTTGGGTATTATTATCATCATAGTAGAGAGGCGTACATGAACTACGATATGATTTTCACCACACAGCTGTTTGAAAAGCTATTGACCAAGAAAGATTAGCGGGTAGCTTAACTGAACGCCTGCGTATAGTAGGCAAACCACAAATTAAAAAAACCAAAACTTCTTTTAAAAACTCCAAGTGCTCCTCCAAATTATGGAAATCCTTGCGATTGCTGATAAATGACACTCCAAAATCGAACTATCTCACACGTTTTTCAAAGCATGCACGCGCAGCTGGGATAATCAATTGCAGCTCTATATTTTTACCCGCACACGTCCCTTTTCGTATACCCCGCTACCCAAAATACATCGAACGTCAGCTGCGGATTGTGACAAAGTGAAATTCTGAACCGGTATTTCGGTTTATCAACTGAACGCAGATGGTTTGCGAAGGCGACTTCTCATTTCATCAGAGGTCGGATAAGCATCGATCGACAAAACTGTGGCAGTAGTCTACCCATCCATCAGTTGCGTTTACATCCCCTTGAAAAGCCTATCCACTACGAGCCCAGATTATCGACCACCTTATGAGACGTACTCTTGTCTTAATTCTTCTCAAGACCTAAAAGTTACTCATTCTGCTAGTCCGACACACGATCAAACGTCCGTGTTCTACCTAACGGGACCTATTGTAAGTCTATGCGAGCCATGGGCAGTGCAAACCAAACACATCTTTTTCGGTTGTAGGGCACGGCCTGTTCGTACTCACACATCCAGGGCAGTAACTGGTGCAAACGCCAGATACCCTCAATAGCCCAGTTCCTCTGCATGCAAATTTACTACAACCTTGTGGCCTTCGGTTTCGGTACGATTATAACCTTCTCAAATGGTTCATGGGACTTGTTGGCACGACGTGAAGGGAACACTAATACCAGTTTCTCCGTTCTTAAATATTTTACTACCCGGCAGCAGATTTCACGACCAATTATCCTGGGTTACATTCTTGTGGCTTGTTCACGTTGTAACCAGTGCGTAGGGGAATTTCAACAATTTAAATCTGGGGGTGATTTTAATCTAAGAGCTTATACCACACAGTTTGAATCCAGATACGCGTTGTACACAGTAGCATTTTGTTTCGCCCGTAAAGGAATTTCTGCAGTTTTTTGTTCTGCTTGCCCCTCCCAGAAGAGACCGCTTTTGATCGCTTCTTGAGGATGGTCCATCCGGTGGATGCCAACTGTACGTTATTACTAAAAGTCTTGTTACCAATAGACTTTGCAGAATGGGTTCTCCCCATATGCTGTAAGGATTGGATTTGTAATAGACATCGCTTAATATCCACATTGTTCTGGACTAATTAGTTCGGTTAGGTTTTCTAAGGATGTACAACGTCTTGCGAGATTTACTCTTCCGAAGGCACTTGAACTCAGAGATAATATCACACCAGTCATCTTCGGCTTCAAGTCAAAGATCCTTCTGAGGCACTTCACTCCTTTACCTCAAGGATATAAAGTATTTTGTATCCGCCTCACCCGCTTTGCTACCTCTCATCAACTGAACATCAACTGAGAGCGTGCAAAATGAACAGTAGATGTATGCAATACCTGTAGGAGTTTGACTGAAAATATAACTCGCAGATCGAAAAAAGAGGGTAGGACTCAGTTGCCATATGTTTATGAAGCAGACCAATGTTGGCTGATTATGTCAATTTTTGTTTTGTTCAACAAGTTAAGAATAAGCGTTACTTGAAATAAGTATCCCTTGCAATTAAAAAGGCTAGCGGAATATCATAACTTATTCTTATTGGCATTCAAATTATGCATGCTTCTGTCACGCCTGGGACGGAATTTCAGTGCATAGCCATCCAATTGGTGTTAACTGAACCAAAAGATAACTGTGATTAAACTAACCAGGATATCAACATTACCGTCAAGTGTGATAAAACAAAAGGCATTTTCTACCCTGTAACCTTAAACTAATGATGACTCCACTGTGTCTATTGACAAAGAACCTATTGCACAGGCAAAAAGACACTTTTCACGACGTCTACTTTGTTCGTTTTTGGATGCTGGATTGACAACAACGAGCGCAGTTGTGTTTGATATACCCTTGCACAATAGGTGGTGATTTAAAGCAAAATGAATCCGCTGCTTAACATCAAATTTTCATGGTGTTCCAAAAACGTACTAATTTCTTGTAACATTGTGCTCGCTATTGCTTGTGATGAATGGGCGGCAAACATTTGGAGAATATCTCATTCTTTATTAGCCCAGAACAGAAGAATGGTCTAATTTTCTTGTTAAATTATAGTGAATCCGAGACTTTCTCACACTTCATGTTTTGCTCTAATCCGGTTAAATCTACGGTCAAATCGACGAATTTGCGAACAATGCTTCGTTTGGTTTGTAGAACCAGGTCTCTTCCAAGTGAGACCCAATACGGAGATGCATTGAAACTGTGAGATGAAGACGATTTCAACTTTATTTTGATAAATTCGACGTTTCAATAGAGGTCAAGCCACACATCACTTTGCACCAAACAGATGTACAGTAAAAGCAGAAGCACCGGGCCAACATACCACTTATACGAATAGACGAGTGTTTAACAACCACAACCAAAGAACAATGCCAAACCTGTAAGGAGTCCGTCCAGGTTTAATACCATGCGTAAAAGGAACGTCTGAATAACATGCCGGTTCCACATGGTCACCGACGCAGGAGAACTTCGCTCGGAGCTACTCCCCATTTACCTGTGCTGAGGGAGTCATCCAACCGTCGTGTGCATATACACTCTAATCAGACAATAACTTAGCGTTACTAGCCATTCGCTGCAACATTATGGTAGAAATGTGTGCCACGGTATCACCCGAATTGAAAAAAAAACTTTGAAAAAGGAAACCATTCCTCACATTCCTCGCTAGATTAACTAGAGTTTTCGCTTCCAAGGTCTTTTAGAGGAATCCTTGAGAATTAGCTCCCCAAAACCTGCGTCTGATTGTTCATTTGGCTACCTCATGCTACTTCCTGTCCTCCGTCTTCACTCATTCCTCGGTTTGTTCGCCCTAATGGCCACGATTAATGCACCTGCACTCAACCTCCCAAGGATTACATCCTGATCACTGCTCAGATTGACCAGATAGCTGTAGAAGCGGATACTCCAATGTTTACATCGGCCTTCTAATCGGTTAAATGGGTTACCTACATCAAATACTGGTAGCTACGGTTCTATCGAGCACAATACACACACTTGGAACGACAGATGGAGGAAATCTGAAAGGTTATACAAGCAGAAAAAAATGCAATCTATGCAGACAAATGGAACAGCAGCCAGCAGAAAACACTCACCCTCGATATTCAATGTATTTGTAAATAGCACCGGCGATCGCCCAAGCCACGATGGTGTAGTACCAACTTGATATAAACATCAGCGCAATACACAAGCCAAGCCCAATAAGAGATAGGAACCTAGAGGAGGGAGAGCAATAATGAATTCTCACGAATTCTGCGAGCATTGAATCACAAACTGACCGACAACTTCGCCAGTTTGCGTCCAAAATAAACGGAACCCACAATAAATATGATGAGAATGACAGAATTTCAAGGGTGACCTAAGGAACCTAAATTTAGGTACATGCGAACCAGATGACGTTTTGAGAAGGATATCGGCAAGGGTGACCTAAGGAACCTAAATTTAGGTACATGCGAACCAGATCAACGTGTGAGAAGTGATATCGGCAACAAAATGTAGCATATCCTTCGGTAGAACAAGACTTACCAGTGAAATAGACGAAATCTTGGACGCCAGCTAGGTTCCCGCAGGAATCCGTTGAGCATGGTTGCCAGGTTGACAAAGCCGTAGCACATCAGGAAAAACCTAGTGATACAAAGTTAGAAAGAACAGTAAACTGGAAACATATGTAAAAAGTAGTGCAACACTTCATTCTCAGGAAAGGTACTCCAAAGAGTGATCAATATCTTCGGAATCGAAAATGATTCCTCTGACACTGCATGTCAGTCGACCATCCCTGTGATAGAAGCATAGGAACTAGCAAAAATGAATAAAGACGAGGTATATCATCTACCTTGTGACTGAAACTCTTGCTTCGTGTTGCGATAATTTAGCAAACGCACATGCACACCTCAAATTAGACTCCGCTCAAAATTATCAGTGTACTACTTAGCGAGGGATCGTCAAAAAGGAAAACAAATGACGGAAGCAGTTTCCAGAGCGTCGAACAATTCACCCTCATCGAACGACGTGGAGGGTTCAGAAAAGTCTGAAACTAACCCATGCCTGTAGCAGTTGTACGCAACCGGGACATCGAAACAAGCTGAACATCAAACGATCACAACAGACCGCAATCAAACCGAACACATTTAACCGGGATGTTTACCAATCAAGTGTGTAAACATGCAATCCCGTAAACGGAGTTGCACAGCCACAGCGATAAAACGAGGGCATGTTGTATTTGTTTCTGCCGATAATTTCTTCATTCGGACAGTTCAATAAACAAACGCTTCTGGTAAACAATAATAAGAAAACGTCGATGCAGAAGCCATTTTGTCTTTGGTAGCGACAGGCCCAGGTAGACCACGAGTGGCCTGGACGAAGCGTTAGTGCTTCGCGAAGAAAACGAATCAAAAACAAATTGCATCAAATCATAACCGTTTTCGATCACATTAAAGACATTTGTCACAAAGTGGCGAGTTTAGAGCTAATTGCATCGCATCCTACTCTGCATTCGAAAAGTGACCTGAATTATGCTACGCATCCGTATGAAAACGGACCTTAACAATAAAACGCCAACTAAAGCTTCATAACACCATAGATAATTTTCAAATTTGAGGGAAACTGCTGCAATCAGTGAACCGTTTTGGAATGGCTGTCAAACCTTAACATGTGATATGCTTATCTATCAGTATAGTGTGTGAACACTTCATCGCTTGACTAGCTGGGCACCAAAAAAGATACTTTGTGTACTTTGTTAATAAAAAACGTTGCTATCGGAAAAACAATGAAATTCGCCGAAAACACGACTCGCTGTGGCCAGATCCCGTCGCGCAACATTCTAGCAATGAACTGTAGGTCCAGGTTGATAAGTATCGGTTGATGTCAATTAGTTCTTTGACAGTGTCAAAGAAATATACCATTTTGGTAGTTCCACACCCAAAATATGACAAAATTTTGCGATTTATTGCTTCACTTAGACAAAACTGTCAAGAGTACACGTAGTAACACATAGTATTAAAGAGGGACTGTAACTAGAATGGGTGGTCACCATGAGTTTTTCACTCAGGTGGGATTCTTATTTCTATGACGCCGAATGTAGAATAGTAATTCGTGACACATGTATAAGGCTAGGTCATTGTTACTGTGTGACCACGTCGCTAAACTTACCCACCTGACCGAGACACAAGCAAGGACTCAAAGCACAACAGAGAACAGTTTATATCACTTATACACAGTGTGCTCTTTGTAAATACAAAAGAAGTTTGAAAATGTCACAAACTACAGGCCCCACTTTTGTAGCAAGTTTTGCAACTCAACAACTTTAGAATTATCATTCACGGCAAATTCATTTTGAAGCTATCTTATTTTGCCGTCCTTCGCTTTGGCATGCTATGTTTCTTTTCCTAGCATAACGGGCATATTGGAAGCGAACGAAACTCAGTCACGGCACAACCACGTCTTGTTCGGTCAAACCGCTACGACGACAAAGGCACAATGGCCTAATTCGAAACATGCAACATTGTACTTGTCCAACTCCTAGCTTCATCCATTACGGGTCCATCAACTGCACTTCAGAAACACGTCCTGCATCCGATGGTGTTATGAACTCTGGTATATCACTGACTTCTTGAAGAATGCGACTCATAAATATAGAGTATTTCACCACGCCCAGACCAAGCATTCCCTGGAATTCTCCCTAAATTGTTGGCGATTAGTTAGGCATACTTCAATCTATTCTAGAAACATTGGAATTTCCCAAGAATTTTTGTGTTTATATAGGGAGATCCTTGTGCGACCGATCCATGATGCTTAGTACGTACCTAGCCAGTATGTTAAAGTATGAATTAAATATTTTACCACATCTTCAATAAATGAAGTTGCGCCCTGTAGAGGCTAAAAACAAGCGCAGTACATTGATTCCCTTTGTATCTCACTAAACCCATCCACCTGGTCCACATAAGTGGAGGTCCTTGCAATAAGCTAAACGTCGTTTTGTCCTTTAGTTTGTGTGTTTTACCATTCATTATGTTCCGCCGATCAGCTAATGGTTCCTAGCCATTTTTTCGCAGCATACACTCTTTTCGGCATGCACTCACAGGCCAGTGGTTCTGTGACTGAAACGTGTGTTCCGAATAATATGAAAATAATGCTGATCTATCCTTATCAGTGAATAGATTTCATCTAAAGTGCTGTCAATGCGGAGTGTTTCAAAAAGTCGGGATGCCAAAGCCTGAACAACCTTGCAGTATTATTGTTCAGTTTGATAAATGGGTAATCATTACGCAACTGGTGACGGTCTTTTCCCACATCCAAGAGGTGACAAGTGGAATAGAGTTTGAAGTCTACTACAACGTTTTATCGTAGCCTGATATAGGAGAGAATGTTGTTAGCCCGGGATAATGCGGACTGATCCCGATTAATCCAACAAAGTTGAAGCTATGCAGAAAGCAAAATTCTTGCTAATTTTGTGTAATAGTGACTTGACTCATTTCGCAGAAGCAATCCAGGAGAAGCAATTGACCATAAAAAGATTTCGCAAAAAAGAATCGAAATTACAGCCACTAGCTGCTGAAATTATCTGGGATCATTTTTCATTATTAACCAATGTTAAAAACGTTAACAACCGTGCACTGACCAGCTTCGCAAGTTCAGTAACAAGAACCAACGGTAAACGAACACAACATGCCACCCCTTCTCCAAGACCTCCAAAAACTCCTAAGGCTAAGTAAGGAACACATCGCTTTATCCTTTTCTTTATTACTTCCACCTGAAAACCCAGTGTCTGGTTCCACAAAAGCGAAAAGCATATGAGTAAGCGTAATTTGACTTCACAAAACATTTCGCGCCGTCTCGCACAGCGAAAACGAATTTCGGTTTGTCAGTGGTTTTAAATGCTTGAGCAAATGTGAGTCGTCTTGAAATCCGTCAGAAATGATAGGGGAGATAGCAAATGATGAGTTGAATTCATCCAAGAAGCATTGAGTTCGAAAAGTGGATTTTTACGAAATTTGCAAAATTAATCTTTTGATCCCAAGACTTCCACATTTTAGCTGGCCTAATACGCAACAGGAAACCGCACAAAGAATGCTTCGCACTTTGTGAGCTCGTTGTCTCACGGCAATTTTAAGGTTGATTGACAGCCCAACTTTACGCTCCCGTTAAAAGCGGCGTCGAAACTTCTCAAAAATATTTGCAGAGGTTTTTGTTTGTTGTATGACAAGAAAAACAATAATGCCCGCATTATTAATGGTTGCATGCGTCTGTGTGCCTTTATATACTCAGGCACCAAAAGTAATTATTTAAATTTTGTCGACGGTTGCGAGATGTTACTTATTCACACAGTTCTTGCTTATATGAGCCTTTTCTTTATTCTAACGTGTTCAATCCACACAAACGTATAAACACCCTATTGGAGTTTCACTCTGAGTAGAATAAAGTACATCAGTAGTGATACACCCCCATTATTCCTGGATTGAAGCGCAGCTCATACGAACTACAGGATAAGTTCAACTAATGCAACTGTACAGATTATTTCTGACCTTTTTAAAGGGACTGCAAGAGCATAAGTTCAAAGGTTCACGAAAGAGCATCACCGGTCGGGTCAATCTGAACATTTTCTAGTTCACTGTAAAAGCCGTCAGGCGATTTACGAAGTGTGGAAACACGCAGGACGGAGTTCTACCAATCAATCCACTAGTCGCGAAACATAAAAACGCCGTAAATTGAGCGATGGCTTAATTCCGACAACCGATGGGCGCGACAAGCAGTGTGCCGAAGTAGTTTTACTCACATCATATCCGGGTGAGGGTAAAATTGAGATGCAACAGTATGAATGAAAGTGAATTTTGGATATCTAGTTCAAATGTATGTGGAGAGGTAAAAATTTGTCAAAACAGACTCAGTTTCAGTCTAGCTTATGCACCTACGGATGTAAGTCTCTGGACGAGAAAGTAAGATGGCAAGGATGAACACGAAATTAGACAGTAATTGGCAGTGCCCTACAGCTAGATAAGACGGGTTCACAAGCAACATTCCGGAAGCAAGTTCGTGCATGTGTTGTTTATATTCACCGTAAAACCTCGAAAACTCTCTGCTTTGATTTACCCGGCTCATTTGCTTACATTCGAGCGCCTGACCTAGGAGGATTTTCCACCACTGTTTGAATCCATTCATTCCATTCCCAGATATCCAAGTGAATAGGCGTTTTCAACATTCGAGACAGAAAGTTATGGTGATAGTTCTCTTTTCCATGACGCACGGGGCACCTCAGTCAACATCAGTTTTCTCCTCTATACAACAAGTTTCCCCACATGGTCGGATGAGCCAGTGTCGGTTATGGAACAGTTTAGCAGAAGAACACGTAACAGTTTTTGATATGCCCAGCAAAGCCCGAGGGATGCATTCCGGTTTTCCTTAGGCGAATGTCTTCAAGATAGGATTCTATACGGCGATATTGCACTGGATTGTCAAACCTGGTGAAATTCTGAGACCTTATCCAGGTATCTCGGAGAAACTTCATCTCTGAGATGCACAACACAAAACTTGCGGTTATGTGTGGACTGGATGCTTCAAAGTTAAAAGTGGATTTTTTAAAGATGAAAAATACCGAGAGACCTTTGATTGAAAAAGTAGTCATTATCAGCATAGACAGTAAAATTAACGTTGAAGCAAACGTTTTACTACTGTAAAAACACAGTTTATTTAATCACATTTGAAGACAACGTGAAAAGAAGAGACTTGGTGCTAGCCTGTCTCAAGGATTCTGAGGTTTCCATACCCCCACCCAAACATTCACTCAGACACGCTGGAAAGAAACTGACAACGCGATTAGCCGCTATTTATTGGAATTCCTAGCAATGTGGTTGGGGTCGCGGTAACCACACCTTGCAAGGTGGACCACGCCAACTACACCCAGCATCTTCGTAATCTCTTACACACCCTTCTACCAAGCCACTCGTTGCTCATATCACAGTTTGCGGACTGCTGACGTCTTCACATTGGTGACAAAACGCCTGAAAGTAAATTTCCGAGCTCGGTGAACAGATCAATAACCACCTGATATAAAACAACTGTGGCTATATTGGCCATTTTCGATGTAGGTTGACACAATAAAAAGCAATCAACTCACATCGTAATCAGTGGCGTCAAAGAGTCGATTGATGCGATTAATATCCCAAGTTGTGCGATTCCATAACTCAGTAGCTGAGCTCTTAGAGGTTCCCCACGTCGAGTTGTGACCTTAAAGAGATTCAGCATAGGCATCACGTTGTCCTGAGCAATAGCTTGTAACAACCGTGGAGCACCTGAAATGTCGCAAACAATTGAGGAAACTTCAAATTCAGTGGCATACATCGATCACTGATAACAAGGCTAAGGATGGATAGCCCGATTAAAACTGACAAGCACTAAACGCGTGTTGGTCGAACAATAGCTTCCGAACACTCACAGGACACGAATGACTTCGTCATTTCGAAGATAAAATTCAAACAGAAAAATGTCCAATTAGGATAACATGATTGTAGTAACAAGAGTACTATGTACGTCCATACAATTTGGGTCCTATGACTCAGTCTAAAAGTACAGCTTGGAGGACTACTGTTATATTGACTATCTGGCGTTTTGCTCCACCTAACAGGTGAATTGGTTACTCATGCAAAATAACAGTCGCACATATTCATACCACTAACAGCAGTGTGAGTCATTGTAACTTTGGTACACCGATTATAGCCAAATAAGGGAAATGAAATAACATGGTAGGTCAATAGAAATCTAATTCACCAAAAATTTGATAAACGTCTTTGCATTCTAATGGTTGTACAAGGAACCACCAGCAAACATGCTGGATAATGTCAAAAAACATATGCTGATAAAAATAAGCCTTTTCAAATAATGCGTCGAATTCAACACAAAGATTCTAAACTATTTTTTTGTGCAGAGAATCCTACACAAGTTAGAATCAACTTCCTCTCCTGAGTATTCCCTTTGGAGAATCTCTAAAAGGAGCCGCATCTCTAGATTTAAACGCATCTCGCCAAGCGAGGCCTTGTACGAAGAGTGACTAATCCTCATGAGGAGCAAAGACTCTCAGTATCCAGTTTAGGTTTGGCTTTTAGGAACAACTTTCAGACGAAATTTGCGTCCTAACGAAGATCCAGGGGGCAGGTAGTAATAAGAGCGACTAATCCACAAAATTCCTGTTTCTAAGTAGAGCGGTATTTGTAATTTTGATATAACTTAATTTACTGTATAGAGTGATGACACAAACATTTAAACCATGCTTCGTAGTACGAGAAAGCATCACAATGAAACGGTCAAACAGTTCGAAAATAACTCGCAAAAAGAAAACGAACCGTCTTGGGCAAAGCGGAAACACGTGACCACGGAGGGAGTGGGCTGACTCAAATATGTCTCGAATAAATCACTTGAATATAGTGAAATGCTGAGACAATTGAAATTAATGTGTGAGTCTGTCTAGGCGAGATAGACAGAGAAATCGAGCTGTTCTATCTCAATTTGGGATGTTTTTATTCCCACTGCCAAGTTGAGTCTAAAGTGGTAAGTCCTAGCAACGCTTCAGGTCAGTAACCAAAAACGTCGAATAGGTTTGCCGTATGAGACGATAAGTGTGACCCATTTGTTACGAGGGTAATCGAATTTACAGCACTACCTACATTTATTGTTGCAATGTGGTCTGCAAAAATGCAGAGTGAATTGGGGAGAGTTTCCCATTTGCGTTTCGTTAATCTAATCACACATCGGCTCACAGCTTACACACTTCGTACAAAGTTATTCATACAACGCAATTAAGTGATACTTCTGAATGATAATCCAGTGAATGTTGTCGGAGTCTACACCAGTGTTGCTCCAATGTCATATGAGTCCGCTGGGAAGACGGGCATAAAAAAGAGTGCCCTGAGTTGTGCAACGAATCAGTCCTACAGCAATATGTAACGAGCCATGAGTGCTCAGAAATACCATTAAGTGAAGTATTCAGGAAATATACCCCCGGATGATTCGTATGAGCAGCTATCCACCCAACCGACCAAGCAGTAGATAGCGGATGTGCAAAACTTCAAACGAATGTGATGGGTTCGAAACCGATAGGTGGTTTGGGCCAGGCCAGCCGTCTATGATGCTCAATATGCAGGTAACACCTAAACACAGTATGTTGGATTTTTGTCACCTGCAAAGAAGAAACGCTATAGTTTGCCATGTGTACACAGCGGAGAGAGGAGGAATAGTTTATGTCATCAGCTGGCAATTTTGAAATGGGCAACTGCTTGTGGTTTCCCAGTTAACGTCAATAACTGTAACAGGATAGAGAGGATGATAAAATGAATATTTTTGGGAGAAATGGAGCACTAAAATATGTCAGTCAGTGAGGAGACAATGCGGGCAAACATCTAATCGGTCCATCTGACAGAATATTAAAAAGTGTTCCTCTGCTTGGAAATTATCCTGCTTTGCTTCAGGATGTGACGGACGGACACCAAGTTTTTAGCTGTCCCTGACAAGCCTGTGGCACAAACAATTGCGCTAAAATTTTCTTTGTCTACATCAAAAGAAATGTGGCCGTCAAAATCCAGACAGTGAACGACTGATTGGTATACACCCTGACAGAAAATATACTCATCAGTTGTGCGTCGCAGGCTTGAATGGGATGAAAACTGACGTTTCGTTCGGTGTCTGTGTGTATCCTATTTCAAAAATGTTCTGTGCAGTGAGGAAAACTCTGAAAGCTCTAAATATCCAACAACAGCAATTTTTCGTTATATGCAGCTGGTACTTAGTGTTTTAGCCTCAGACTTAACGCAATAAAGCTGTTATATCCAACCTAATATGTTCGGAAAATCGTACTGAAATAAGCCTCCGAAAGATGCCGTACTTTCTGGCTTCTATAGTACACAACACCGTAGATTAATATGGAGACATACGTAGTTCAATTCTAAAACAAACTCATCCCATAGGCATTCAAAGGTAAGCTTGGAAACAACGAACACATGTTAACTTTGCCGAACACAACCATAAATAATATAAAAGCTCGACTATTTGGCACAATTAGTGATGGAGATTTACGAGTAAATGATGTGAACGTTACAGGATATCAACATTCGCACAGTTTCACATTTTTGCTTTCTAACTCAGAGATACAAATATTTCTGGTAGTTCGACCTCTATTTCTGCTATGGGCAAGGGAGATAGGTGTGCCTGCATTTTGCTCATTTCGCTCGAATTCCATTTTACTGGGCACGGTGGCTGTCAGTGTCAGAGCATCTATTGATCATCTGGTGATTGATCTATTCGCCTAGCTTGTCATTTAGATTGCAAACGTTTCGTCACTCTTAGAGGGCGCACTGATGATGTGACAAAAGCCTGCAAGCTAAGTCACAAGCTGGTGAGAACTGATCAACCACCGTTCTGATTGCAACAGCAGCTAGGGACATCGCAGCAACTTTTGGCCGATTATGCGCCTGCCACTTCTGTCACCAATAGACAGACCTGAGTTAGAAGTTAACAGGAAATGAAAACAGCCCACAATGCTCGCTATAAATAAGCAACCGGTAATACTGCCGCAAACAGTTACACCTCACTACTGTTGGACAAACAGCTGACGGTATGATAACACTTCTGTGAGGCTGTGACCGTCCCGCATTATGCAAGTTCGTTTTCAGAAAGTAACTTCGCAGTCGAAATAGTGGACGCAAATCCAGCTGTCAACGGCCAAGGCTGACCTTGCCACCCCAATGTTGATGCTTTACGAAAACAAGCATCACGAGTGGTGTTGTCCATTCTATTTTAGCCGAAATTATCTGTGAGCACTACATTTGCTCAATCAGGCTACCTATAGTACACTCAAACAACGACTGCTACCACAATGGAAGTAGTTTCCTAAGGATGATTTTTCAACTTATGCGAACTTGCCAGAAGGTGTGGTAAACCCGCAAATTATCTACAAGGACATCTATTCTGTTCTTCCTTGGTCTACAAAGATTGGAAAATCTAGTCGCTCCCTAAAAATAAATTGTCAAAATCGAATGGTTTTGGCTGAATCGAAATCTATTAGGAATCTGTTACTGAATGGTAAAAATTACAGCAAAATTTTCACATCCCTTAAAGAAAATCTGATGACTATCAGATCGTGACTTTCTAATTTTCATACATAATAACTACGAAGCAGAAATAATAGGTTCTAAAAAAGCGATTCGCCTCGCGCTTCTTCCCTGTATGCGTTTATCTTGTAAGTGTGGTAGGCAGTCGAATCAATGCGACTGAGAACAAACGTGTCGTAGGTTGGTAACGTTTATAAATGCCGAATAATTCACTTAAAACGCGTTGAAAAAAGGTGTCTTTATTCACCCTGGATTTCGGTGGGTAGGAATTGCAGAAGAAGAGTAGACTCATTTTGCAGGAGCTTCTCATGGGAGAGCGACAATGAGGCCAGGACGAATAGTACACCTAAAAACGATGCGGCATCTATGAGACAGCATTAACCTAATGGTTTTTAATGAAGCTATGATGTTCGGGATTAATTTTGCACACGTTCTACTATCCCTTGCCAACTACTACGTTGTCTATGACAGTTTTCCGTAGCCATTGTGGGAGTATTCCCAATGGACGTTTGCAAGCTTCTGCGCCTTTTTATTAACTAAATAAAAGCTTTTAGGTAGTGAGGATATTTCATACTTCTTAATCTATATTTCATAATGCATGCAAATTTAGCTTCTAATTGTACTGAGAGAAACACTACTGAGAAGCACTAGTGAGTTAGTCCATCACTGACAACAGTCGTCAACGGTGCGTTCGAATTTCGCGGAACATTTGAGTTTGCAGCAAACTTGAGGGGTTGGAAAGATCAATATCCGCTCACTTCTCAAAATATTAATGAGCTGCTCTAAATAATTGAACATCCCACAAGTCCCAATGGTCTTTCGCCGAGGAGCCATCAATGAGGCAACTAATCAGCACCGGATCACAGGACGGGAACCGTCAGAGCTGGTTATGTTACGGTCGGCGATAGAACTGAGCAAGCACTACAAGTTCACTGCTTGCGGTTTGTATTGGCTGATTTTTTTTACCATACAGTGACAGACACGAGTAATGGCGCAAAAACATCTAGAAGCGTCGAAACTGTTGAAACATTCTACCAAGTCTTGTCATCAAAGTGAGACTTCTGTGGCCCACCCTTCTCAAAACCTTTGCAAATTACCTTGCTGTAATTATGCCGACTAAGCAAACGACAGTTCTCAGAAAAAGGCTCCAGAGTAGACCACCGAAGTTAGTTTTTAAGGGGACAAATATTCATGCTCCCAAAACTAAATTGGTGACTGCTATAAAACCAGAGCAAAGAAACGGTCGTTAAAGCGTCATCAACATCCTCAACTGATGGGTTCTGAGTTGTCGGGAGCACATCACCCTACGTGATGATCCGTTACCACGAGATGGTATTATAATCTTATTCCCACCGATTCTACACTCTCAGGATTCTTTTTAACATAGTTTGTGGAATTGGAAGTTCTCTGAAGCACGAGCTTGACTTCCGGAGAGACCTGCAAATTGTTGACCAAACCTTATCCAACTACACCCAACAACAGGAGAGTTACGGAGGAAAAATATGCAGACTCCATGCCAATATATGTATATGCCTTGTATGTGCACAGTAATCCTCACGGCTGTCAGCCATTCTCGGCTAAATGACGCCGTTCAAACTCCCGTCCTAGAGACTGCCTACTGCTGACGATTCACAAAAGCGATTTTTGGTCGTTTTGAATGCAATCTTCATTTGCATTTTATGTGGTACATCTACTCTTATCTTTACATTGTCAGAAAGACTCCCAGTTTCTAGTGATCATCTATAGTCTACTCCAGCCGTGATGATCTGCTATCAGTGGACGTTGCTTCCCGTTCTATTCTGATTTATCCTCCCCGTAATTCGTTTGTCAGGTCGTGCTATTTGACGTGCTGAGCATTGTATTTTCGAACCCTTCAGAAGTTTTAACCGCCACAGTAAAGTAATTTACTGACAAGCCGTCACCATGAACGTTTACTTTCGTTGATTCGCTTTATCACATCAAAGTCCAATATTGATAACTCGGGTGGATTAATTTTCTGCTGATCAGGTGGTCCGTTCGCTTCCTTTGGCAATTGGCTTGTGAGGGTTTCGTCACCATTCGAGGAGACGTCCTCAGTGTGAGAACTAACAGCATCTCATCGGATGGCGACGAAACATTTACAAGCCGACTGCCAGACTCAGCAAACGAATCAACTGCCAAATGTCCACCATCCTTAAGTGTTATCCATTGAACTGAAGTCATCAATGAACAAGAGGGTTCGTGTAACTGGGAAGGAAATAGACAACCATGTAAGTCAGCAGACAAATGTCTCGAGAAGACACTTGGTGGCAGCAAACGCATTTGCCATTCGTAGATTGTTTAATCAATGGGTATAATTAGGGAAGCAAAACATGCAAATAATCCAGTGGTATTTTGTGAAATATGGTGTTCGTTCAGGAATATGTGTTTTAGAATTTCTAATTGGCGAAATCAAATCCATCGTTGCAAGATATGGCTGACGATTTGGTCATTGTCTGAAAAAATAATCCACCAAAAATGCGTTACTAGAGCAATGCTGTTATCTCAACCACTCAAAATACACTTTGATGACTAGGGCTATGTTTTACTCGAAAGGATACAGGGTGGTTTATCCCTGAATAAATGGCAATTTTGAACAAGTCCAGAGTACCACAGACAAATGCAGATAATCGCACCCTTCAAAGTTTCGCATCAATTCTTGCGTCACAATCAACATTTCTGGTGATTTGTTTAACCACTTTCACCGTGAGTGTTGTAACTTCGTATACTGCGTTTATGTTGCAGATATACACCCAAACTGAATGGTCGCTTGTAAGTCCGGACCCTTTGCACAGTTTCCCTAGCCGACAAGTCTTTTTGAGAAGTAAAGTCGGCGAATATACACTCATTTGCAAACTTATTTGGTTTTTCGAGATAATCACCTGGAACCCAGCTGAATCTCTCGTTTGTGATGTTCTCAGGCAACTGAATGTGCTGCACCAGGCCGCCTCATGTTTCAGTCGCTACGATATTCAAGAAACCGCAATACATGTATATCTTTGTAATGTACTACTCATAAGGTTGCTGAAAATCCGTTGACAGCCCACGACCGGTTCGTCCTTTTTGGGGCTCACCAGGTAGTGACACTTAATAATTATAAATCAAGTCGCCGTGCCATTCCTTAAGGGTGGAGGAAAAACCGCACACATTGTAAACTGATTGATGTGTGCACCACAATATCAAGGCTGGTTTTTAGTCAAAAAATGAATGCAACTTACATAACATCGTACACCAGAATGTGTGAAATTCTAGCCTTACCACACTAGAGGTAACTGTAGAACTACTACCATGGAAATTCTGCTGAGATGCGGTCGCTTTGAGAAAACCTGGTCGACAAAACTGAATGAACAAACCTGTAAGGCATTGAAGTCCAGCCCCAATGGTGGACAGGCATGTTCCAACTAAAACCACCCAATAATGGGGCCACGCAAATGCCGCGACTAAAAGACCACCACCGTAACTTTCTCCGAATCTGGAAGAGAAACACGTAACGGTGCAGATAATTCAAAACAAAAATTCTGTTGATCGACACATGCACGCAGTAAATGGAGTACAGCTCAAAATACTGGTTATCAGGCAAGCAAAAACAGAAAAAAGGGATGGGCTTGACAGGTAAGATCACCTAAGTACGTTGGTATTCTTACCCGTTTTTCACATCGCTTGTCATAGGATACCGATAAACTTAAAGTTAGGATGAACACATCAATCTAACCGGTGATATATCAAGAACTTACACCCTAATAATCATTGGCTGAAAGAGTTTAGAAAAGAAGTACCCGCTTGTCACTGAGTTTTGCGTATGGCCGAATTACGAGCCGTAAAATGATAACTGATAGTTTTGGATTCCTGACGCGGCTCGGAAAACTCAGTCAGAAACAATAAAGGACAATTTTTACGGTAATGAAACGAACTTCACAGCGGAGCCTACTGTTCGACTTCGACGTGAAATATTGCCGTTGCTGATGATGTCGACCGTTGATCGATTAAACATCAGACAGACTTACTGTAATCAAATCAGGATGAACCAACCAATGACTACCAGTCGAAAGGAATGGAAATTAGCATGGACAGGATGACGTTACCTCATAATCACTCCTATACTTTTGAATCTTATGAAATAAGATAGCCCGAAAGACAAAACTGATCCAACTTGCCACTAGAACCCATGACTTATTATTCCTCATGGCACATCAGGCTTATGCGTAAAATCATCGGCATTGTGCAGTGTATTCCCTTACGAAAATACTAAGTTCACAATAGACATCCAAACTGTAGTTATCTCTGAAAAAATATTCCATATTCGTTGGAATGGAACGGTGGGCACTCATAACAGATAATACCCATAATTTAGGTGTAGTCCCCTGGGTTGGTCCGTCGAAAATCCTCTGGAATTTTTGCGACCAGGTACGTTTGACTGCCAAGCAGCTAGGCGTCCGTATGCTTCCGAAGATTTTCAATCACAATGTTAAAAGACGGGCGATAAATGAAACAAACGGTTTGTGCACTTTTGCTGTTTATCATGTCTGACACGTAAAAACGCATGCGGTATGATGATGGAATACATACAACGCACCGACCGCACGCCGTACCTGGTCATTCCGTCCTTCTTTAAGATAACTACCCATAAGGTTGCTGAAAACTCGTTGACAGCCCATGACCAGTTTGGCCCTTCTTGAGGTTCATCAGGTAGGCGCAGCCTCGAGTGTCCGTCAGCCTCATATTCTACTTGAACCCAAATTGGCGAAACTAGCGAAACACCCTAAAAATCATTGGCTGAAAGAGTGTAGAAAAGAAGTACACGCTTGTCACTGAGTTTTGCGTATGGCCGAATTACGAGCCGTAAAATGATAACTGATAGTTTTGGATTCCTGACGCGGCTCGGAAAACTCAGTCAGAAACAATAAAGGACAATTTTTACGGTAATGAAACGAACTTCACAGCGGAGCCTACTGTTCGACTTCGACGTGAAATATTGCCGTTGCTGATGATGTCGACCGTTGATCGATTAAACATCAGACAGACTTACTGTAATCAAATCAGGATGAACCAACCAATGACTACCAGTCGAAAGGAATGGAAATTAGCATGGACAGGATGACGTTACCTCATAATCACTCCTATACTTTTGAATCTTATGAAATAAGATAGCCCGAAAGACAAAACTGATCCAACTTGCCACTAGAACCCATGACTTATTATTCCTCATGGCACATCAGGCTTATGCGTAAAATCATCGGCATTGTGCAGTGTATTCCCTTACGAAAATACTAAGTTCACAATAGACATCCAAACTGTAGTTATCTCTGAAAAAATATTCCATATTCGTTGGAATGGAACGGTGGGCACTCATAACAGATAATACCCATAATTTAGGTGTAGTCCCCTGGGTTGGTCCGTCGAAAATCCTCTGGAATTTTTGCGACCAGGTACGTTTGACTGCCAAGCAGCTAGGCGTCCGTATGCTTCCGAAGATTTTCAATCACAATGTTAAAAGACGGGCGATAAATGAAACAAACGGTTTGTGCACTTTTGCTGTTTATCATGTCTGACACGTAAAAACGCATGCGGTATGATGATGGAATACATACAACGCACCGACCGCACGCCGTACCTGGTCATTCCGTCCTTCTTTAAGATAACTACCCATAAGGTTGCTGAAAACTCGTTGACAGCCCATGACCAGTTTGGCCCTTCTTGAGGTTCATCAGGTAGGCGCAGCCTCGAGTGTCCGTCAGCCTCATATTCTACTTGAACCCAAATTGGCGAAACTAGCGAAACTATCGTGAACGGGAGACTCAGCTGGGTTCCAGGTGAGTATCCTGTCAAAACCAAATTGCTGCACAAATGAGTATGTTTAGCTAGTTACTGAATACCGTATTCTTTGTAAATTGAGGTTAGTATCATTGGCTGGAAAGAATCGGTGCCACTCAAAAATTAGTTTCCACCTTCCAAAATGCATTTATCGGTGGACGCAGATGTCGTACAACAGCGAAGCTGTCGGACAGCAGTACGTCCGTCTCACCCCCGAAATCACCCTAGGGTCACAGCAACTAGACAATGAAACTGTTGCAGCAGCGTGACACATTTACAGCCGGCAAGTCGTTCAGCAGTTTACGTGAATGGTGAACTGTATGGGTGCTTTTAATGACAAATGGACCGATCCGGCGAATATATATTCATACAGAGCTAGCCCTAAGTCCTAGAATAGCCATGTTGCTGTTATAACATACTAAACAAAAGACTTGACCGTATTGTCACGTGTCTAGAGTTTCAACTCATGAAGAAAGTAAATGACGAGGGCGAATACCTGAAATCTGATCAAAGCATGCTGCAAAAGGCAAGGTTTACTTTGCTCAGATAAAACTATTTATCCGACTAATTATAAAATCTCACAGATGACCAGGCAGTGCTTATGGAATTCGAGCGCACTTCTATGGTGAGGATGTTCAACACACGAAGTACTGTTTCCTTCTTTGAATTCATCAGATGAACAAAAGTGGGGTCAGCCATGCACAACAGGCACCGCATGGCTCAGTTTATTAGGATCCGACTACAACAATGGTACGATGCACTCTTAATTGCCATGTTTAGCAGGCACTTCCCAGATCAAACCTTAATAAAATAGATGAGCAATTTGACTGCTTCAAAGTGTCGAAAATCAAGAACTGAGGATAAGTGATAGGGTAAAAACAATTGCTTCACTAACGCAAAAATATTCATTCAAAAGTGGGTTAAAATTGGGAATACGGCTTGAGACTTGTGGATTGCTCAGATGCTGTCCAACAAACACTGAAAACTAGTCGGAAAGAATAACATATCACGAAAAGTAGCGAAACTAGTTCTCCAAAAGGACATTTGTTTCTCGGTTTTCACCTGTTTTCTCTTCAGAATGGACTCGTTGTGGCCAGCCACAGGATAGCAGCTCTATATCGACTGACATGCAAACAAAAAAGATACGGGTAGCAATTCAAGAGACGTTCCACTTGGGGGTAGTAAGCTTTTAAGCCTGTACTTCTCACTTTAGTGTAATTTCCCTGACAACTCTTCTTTGTCACAAACCAAGGTTTGAAGGGACAGGTTTCGGCACACTCGGCCACGGCGTGATAGCGTTAACAACGGAATCGCAATCTCTATTACCTCAAAATGCAAGCAAATAGGCTTAAAAACGTTCTACCAAAAGGGATCGGCATTTGTTCTGAACGTCTATATTATCTGATTAAAATATTCCTTTGTTTATCTACGTGTTACAATAAGAGGTGAGAATGACAGCAATTATAGCTTTAGGTGCCATATAATATTGACAGATACCTGAATATACAGGCTTAGGTACTCTACACCAGTAGATGTGACTGATTAGTAACTTATGATTATCTCTATTGCGGTCAGATTAATAAGCAAGCCTCCATACTACTATTGGTCGTATATGAGTATGTATGGGTTCAAAGTCGTACTTTGAAGAAGAAGCTTAGAGGGAGTAAGCTGTTTCTTCTAGGTGGTCAGCATTTCCATATTAATTGATACAGTGGCGCTACCGTTCGCCGAAGAACAAGTTAAAAAGTTTCGGCTCTAAAAACCGCACATCTTGGCCACTCATCGGTTAACCGTAACCACCAATACAGTACAGTCGATATACAAGTAAAACCTACAAGGATCGTAATTAACTCCAAATGCAACTGCCTGGTGCAGTGGCATCAGCGGTAAAAAATCAACCCCTTACTCTCTAGGTCAGTCCCAGGCAGCCAAGAGGGTCAGACTATGAAGTCACTGGCTCCAGACAGGATATCTCAAGTACTCTGTACACGCCACTGCCTTGGGACCAGATTTTTAGTGCAAAGCTAAAAGTGGAATATCTGAAAGAGAACCGTTTCCTCGGATTCGGCAACCAGGTGATATCGAGTGCTCTTACAGCTTCTTATTATTCGGCCCTCGTTCCCACACTCTCCTAACCCTTCAACCGGTCAGCTGCATTCAAACCATCTACCAGCCCCTAACATAATACCCAGTAAAATAGTCGAAAATGAACCCTTACTAAAATCGGGGAATCTGCTTCAAGTTGCAGCCTTGAACGTCCATACTTTCTACTGAATAAAAATTTCCTTTGTTCTTTCTGTTGATCTTGTGTCTCTGAAGCGAGCGTGCGAGACCCCATTTCAGTCATAAGTTCCACACCACTAAGGACGGGATCAGACTATCCACATTTCACTCTTTGGATATCTGGTGATCATGGTGCAGTGGGTTATAGCATCCATGGTAGTGGAGTTGCAAGCAGCTCCATGGTTTTATTTGTCTGGATTCCAGTGAAGAACCGTCTTTGGGCTGTACGGTTGTCTGGTCCAACTGGGTGCAGTGTGTGCCGACCAGACAAATGATGTACGTCTCTCCTACCTGTATATGCCTCGACAGCCTGCAGTACTACGACTGAGATCCGTTACGGCTGGTTTGGTAGACAAGAGAAGCAAAGTGTCATCCTAACGGTTGATAAGAGGAAAGTGTATCAGAGAGGACCATACTTGAGTGAAAGAGTCAGAATCGATGCTCAGTGTATGGATAACTGTTATAAAATCAGTAGTGCGCTGGAAATCGTCTGTTCCTGGCCAGTCTGAACTTCCAACATGAGTGCTTGCACCCGGGAGTTGTCAACCTCAAGCAAGTCGTAGACACAGTTGAATCACATTGTCTTCGGTCACTAATGGAGAGTCCCAGTTGAAAATGGACTCCTATCATGCCATTGTGCGGCCTTGGTTATCAATTCGCTTCCACCAAGGACTGCACATGTTAGAGTATAGGATTTATTTCCACCGAATTCAACTGATTTCAGCAGCCCAGCACCATCGGGCAGATCTGGCTAGAAAACTACTGAAGACGCATGCTCACCTTGATGATGAGGAGTGGTTGAATGATGAGTGGTAGAGAGTGAAAGAAGCTATTCCCTCATCTTTTGGGACTGTTTGACTAGACTATCCGACGTGACCAAACGGAAACTAGATTACGTCATGATGAAATTTTGCTGCTGCCACAAAAGCCATGCCAGCAACCGGAGACCAAGATGGTGCAGGCTGATACCACATAATCAAGAGCTTCAAGAGTGACAGTCAACGATGGTGGACTACAACGGCCTGAGAGATGGAAAAGTTCTCTACTGCAGGCAGCAAGTGCGTCCTATTTCAGCTAACTCAACCAACATTAATAAGTAGACGGGCACCGGCAAAACAGTTTGCAAAGAAGACGGAACAGCAGTATATCCGCAGAATCATCGTCCTGAGTTACGAGCTGAGAACTTCAAAAACGAGCAACACTGAACTTTTGCAACACAATCCTTGAAATAACCTAACAAAAGTGAATGAAACGTAGATACAAGTCGGCCATCTGCAATAGATATTCAGTGCAAGGTGTTACCTCTTCAACTCAGCAAGCCACCTGCCCCGAAATGTCTTGCAAACTGTAACTTTCAAAAAATTGGCGAAATCCTGATGGAGGAAGCAGAATACGGCACTCCAACCCTGATTTCATTCTTCAGAAAACGTCCCGCGAAAGTCTTCGTGGTATCAGACCGGTAGCTGTGCTATCAAGGTAGTCTATGCATAATGCTGCACAGAGTCATCGATTATCGAGAGACAAGTCTGAGGGAATCAAGCTTGGATTTGTCGTAGTCGTGAATACATTGACCACATCTTTACTTTATGCCGTGATTTCGAAAGTTGCTACTCTTCCAAACATCCGACATTGATCACCACACGTTTTGCTATCGGCTTCGCACGTCCAATGCGTAAAATGCAGCTACAAGACTGGACCTGATCAAACCTAAACCTCATCCGCATAGACCAGGCAAACAATGTGGTACATATAGTTGTTTCTTCAACTGTATTATTTCCGGTAAACCGGCTGAAGGTAAGATGACCTCTCGAATCGGAAAGGTCTGGGCAGCGTTCGCCAACCTCCGACATGTATGGTGCGAGCGCAATGTCAGCTTGTTTTAGTCAAACGCAGTGCACATTGGAATGGTGCGATGTGGCGTTTGACCGACGGAGTCTCCCAAAAAGCAGTCAGGTCTAGTGGGAACACCGATTAAGAGATGCTTAGTTACACCAAATGGTTTAAGGAAAAGGAACTCTTCTACAATGGATGAGCTGCTCACGGTCCTTAGGTTTGACATAACAGAAGACCGCCTATCTTGTAGAGCTTTTTCTCCCACCGGTGAGCTGGGTGGAAACAACTGAGGGGTGGACAGTCTACCAACTGGTAACGAAGAATCAAAATGATAACCAGTAAACTATTTTGGATAAAAGCTGCCACCTAATTGAATGGGGGCCAAAATAACGCTGATGAGAATGGCTCAGTCATAAAATCAGTGACTTTTGTGTCGCCTCAAGTGCTAAGATGTCCAGTTTTCTATTCTTTCAGATAACTAGAATGATTCAAGATGAACTAATTGATCATCCCATCGCCTCAAAGATTTCGCCATACCTCCCTCGCCTTCTTTTTTTCCGATGATGGAAACTGGTTTAGGGTTTATGGCTGGTAGACTGAAACTGAAGAATTAGTCAGGTAAAATCGGCAGGCATATATGTAATTATCCAACCAAACGTGCCCGTTTTGGAATAAGATGTAGGTCAGATAAACATTTGCTTTGTAAATTGGTTGTAAAAATATACGCATCAATTTAAATCTCACACTTTTCAACAAGCTTAAACGAAGGCAAAAGAAAAGCTGACTGCTGTGGACTTCACACCTCTGTCTCATTGATTTTGAGCAATTTAAACAGAAAAAGAACGTGAAATATACTTTCTCTTCCCCTAAATGATAAGTCTTGAAAATGATACTTTAAAGCCACACGATTTTCTCACAATCCACGTGGTGTTATGTCTGGAAATCACGCTATCTGGTGCTAGATGCCGCCCATAAGTCTCGCGCTGACAGTTTATTGTTTTCCCGTCATCTGTACCTCAGAAAGAACCATTCGCTGCAAACAAGAAGCCATACATGGAAGAGTCATCTGCATTACGGACGAATATCACAATATAATCATAAAATAACACGGCAGCGTTTGCGACATTGGATATGCCGACTTCAAGGAGTGCGTCATTTTACAAAAACGCCTAATACCGTCCTAAACATGAGAACGACTTGACCAATCCCCTGATTAACTCCAAATTGCATCTATCCCAAATCCGTATACATTACGCTGCAGCTTTGCGACTTCTTCGCAAGTCCATCTATAATCTGTAGAAGTGTTAGTTTTCAAGACAGAACATGCTACTCGTAGGGTTGCTGAGCACCCTTCGACAACCGATTCTGCTTGTCTTTGGTTCATCAAGTAGGTGCAGTTTTTTACTTTTCGTCAGTCGTATTTTTAACGTCAACCGAGGTCGTACGAAATTTGAGAATTCTAGGTAGGTGCCATAGACCAGTCTGAAATCAATATTTCTCTGGAATAACTCATCCATCCCAAGTAGTGATGCCCGGCCTCGGATTAGTGTACGACATATTTGTCTTCGTTATAGGGATACCTTAAGCACTTTTCTGCATACACCCACATAAAAGTTGCCTCTGTGAATCCCTTCTGTTTCGAAACACCTGGGAACATTCACACTACACTGTGAGTTCTCGGAATATGAAGTTTCATACAGGCCAGCTGCTTTCCCCGGTAACTGCCTGCTTAATAAGTATGTCAAAGTCATCACGAAGATATGGCTAAGATGAGTTTTCGTTTTTAGCTAAGAAAAATTGCAGAGTCGCATACTGGTTTGACGATGAACCTGTTAGAAAGCAGCACAGTTTAAAAAAACCATTCGCAAACATGTTTGCTGAATCCTGCCTGATCAGGCCCATGGCCACATCGTCAAATTCTTAGACTTCTTTATTCTGCTCGGTCTAGCGTGCATCGTCTGAAGGTAGCGTGTTCTTGACAAAATTGAGAGTAACCATTGCTGACGCATAAATAGATCTTTGCATGAAAAGTCGCCCACAGTGCTCAGAACCGGTCTCCAAGAAATTGCACCAGCGTGAAACTTGTAATTTCCACTTTTTTGGGATGAATCACATGCGAACAAGAAACGACAGCAGACAACACAAACACTGCACATGCAAGAACGTCACTCAGAGACTAACAGTAGGATACAATAAATCGTAACTGCATTATTTCACTTGGATTTATTCCGAGATTACAAGTTCTTATCATATCTAGTTACAGAGTGGCACTCCGTAAAAAGGCTGATCTGATGTAAGGATGGTTAATTGTTGCCCATACCATGTTGCATAGTGCATTTGAAAATATCAGTCACATGATACCTAGCTGGGCCCAGAATGACGGCGACAGCATCGTTAGGGACTCAAATTGCTTCATACAGAGAAACAAACGAAAGCAGTCTACTTACATCGGGCAAAAATTGGAGCGAATCATGACTTACTTGTCTCGCATCACAGCTCCATCGCAAATAGCGGAGAAAAACAGCGGGGCCGATAAATCTGTCCGCGTAGTCGCATGCAAGATTATTTGACGTGCTCAGGAAAACAATATAAACTCTCCGGAAAAAGAGTGAATAAGTAGGAATAGGATGTAGCGTGAGAAGAAAACCCTTGGCAGAGATTGTAGGCAAGTAGGCGACGAGAAAAGCAGATTCTCTAACTGCTTCACTTACTGCGAACTAAGGTAGAAAAAATGGCACGAAGTACACAACCAGTGATCATGCCTGCTGGAGTTGACTGCTTTGATTGTGCAGACAGCCACATTTGTTTCTTATACTAACCAGAACTATTAAGGAACGAGTACACCGACACTTTCAACAAATGTAAAGTGTTAGTCGATCAGAAGACAACTTTGGATTTGAGTGATGTTCGGTGGAATTTTGAGCACTCCCAGACCAAGGACGTTTGCACTTTGGTTTTCACAAATACGATCTGCGTCACTCAACATTCTTGATAGAAGTCAGCTGCACCTGGCAGTAACCACTAATAGGAATTATTTTTGGCCCTATATCCAAGCATTCGTATCCGGAAGAATTAAGAAGCTTTGAAACAGTAATTGAAGGTGGGTTACGAACACTTAATGGGTCTTGACCATTGAGTGAATTACGCCTTTAGTAATTTATGCATGCGATTCTGGACAAGAACTTTCACCCCTTAGTGTGCACACTAGAGGGTTAAAGGTCATTTGCCTTTATATCTCCATGAAGGCTGAATGGATATGTTAAAGTGAATTAGAAGCCGAAGAAAAAACACGCATGCGCACATGAGGATTAGTTAAAAAGAAAAGGGTTGCAACTATCAATTTCTACGCCTGGTATGGTATGCGGAAGTGAGGCTCAATAATTGCGATCTTCCTGGGCATAAGTCCGCGGAACTTCAGATAAGACATCATTGGCTAGATAAAAAAAGTCGTCTCTGAGGTGTGTTTTCAAAAAGGATACAGAAAAACGAAGTGACAGCGATGGCGGTTATTGTTCCAAGAGGAATAGATACCTGGGGGTTCGCCAAATCCCCCGAACGATTGGATCCTGCCATGATGCCTGGATGACAAGGGACGAAGAAAAAATACTATACGAAAACAAAGCTCCAAACACCATGGCAACTTAGACGTCTAGTTTTAAGGGAATAACTAAACAGCGGAGTGTCAAAAACCTCAAAGGATGAATACCAAACTACGGATACTATATGTAACATGTGTGGAATTAATTGGCAAAGCCAATCCTAATTAGCATTCGTATGCGTCTGAGATCGGTCCCTATTAGACTGCGTTCCCAACATAGACGCACCATGATGTACGTGTCTGGTCGCATCATCGTCTAGTCTATGGAGAAACATCAAGGCAGCGCTCAAAGCAAAAAACACAGTCAGGTCGGCAGTTTGCTGACATAATCCGTATTGAAGTCAGTGACTACCTTTGAAGAGCCTTCTATTTAATTACTGAAGATCGTATGCAAGCAAAGGGTGTTATCAACGCAAACAAAAAAGTTATTTCACCCCGTTGGAAGTAAGTTTGATCGACCTGTATTCAGCCATGTAGGAGGATTATTTATCCACAAAGCTAAATTTTGCTGAGACGAGACGCGAAGCCGAAAAGTTTCGCTAAACACCTGAGCGGAGCAAAAACCTTTCCTCCGGGGATCAATATTACGGGTCAGCGGATTCGATCAGGTTCGACTTTCATCAACAGAACTATTGTTTAGGAACAAATCAACACAAATATCTGCAACAGCACTCGTTGCCTTGGAGATAGGGAGATTGTGACAATATTAATGTAAACAACCATCCGCGATCGGTACGCCTGGTCATGTTTACACAGTGGAAGTGTTGCTGTGTTTGTCCGGAGCTACTACGAAGAACAGAGATTGCACACTCTTCAGTGGAGTTGGTCGAGTTTTACGGGGGAAAAGCATCGCTGATTCGTTGTGCAATACCTAAAAACGTTTTGCCAATAACGATACGTCGTATAAGTCAACCCAATGTTAGTTGATCACTGACATTCCAACAGGGAAACTGCACCAAACAGCCGTATCCTATACCATGAAATCGCCCTCTGAACCATCTAATATCAAGCACAGCTTACGAAACAATCTCTGAAGGAAATCACCTCAGGAGAAATCAACTAAGCAGTTAGTCCATGGTAGCCCCGTTTATATGGACACGGTATATTCAACCCGGAGTTCTAGCTCAGTGGCTGTTGTGGCAGAACTTCATTAGACCTGAATCACCGCGGCTTCGATGCACATTTATATCCAAACAGCAAGTCACGAATTTCGGTCGCATAGATAAAATGTGATGGCCTTGCTAATATTCCTGTTAATGCATCAATTAAACGAGTACGGCACAAAACATTTGAGACTGAAACTCACCCGTAACTGATGGGAAATAGATGGCTAGGAGGATCATGAAGCTAGTTGTTACGTCCGCAACATTCGGTCCTTGACCATACTCCCTTTTTGGAGGGAACGGTATATTGTCGTAAGCTTCACCTTTTTTGCGGTAATACGAGGGAAGAAAGTTTTCTGAAAAAGTGAGACAGATGAAGAGTGTGGTGAACCGTGTAAGCAGAATGAGGCTAATGAAATGTGGATGAAATACTTACCGAAGAATTTGGTTGATCTAAGCCCAGGCATGGCTGGATAATAGGATAAGTTGCTATTGTGGAAAAAGGCGCATGACTCTTCGGTTGCCGTCTCCGGATTGGCGCAGTAGGCTTGATATATTGGACCTGTCTCATTTTTTGAGCAGTCGTAAGTTCCATTGACTAGCAGAAAGTCCTGAGACAGAAGACGACCGCCGAGGGCGCACACGCTGTTGTGATCAGACGTGGAGAAAACCGGATATGAACTTCGTGACCAATACAAGCATCAATAAACGATCTCGATGATAAAAAATATCTTCGGGGACATGAACCGATAGATCTAATACATACCTGTCATTTTTAGCGACAGGGGATAATCGCCTAAAGATACGGATCAAAACCTCAGAGACGGATATTGTCTTGTGTTTCGCTCACGTGCATGAAATCGAGACAAGTGAATCGACTCTGTGTTAAGTTTATTGAACCGTGCATTACGGTTTAATCGTCCCACCAGTGAATCGAAAAGCTTGGGGGCAAAGGGAGTTTCGACTTCAGTAGACTGAACACAACCTGTTTTCGAACAAACGGCACTGTTCATTATGGCTTATCAACACATGTCCATCACTGATGTGGGACGCTTGATTATCGGGTGTGTGGTTTATATGACCACGTCATCTAAGATCCTATCGCTTCACCATATGGTGTCCGGTGGGGCACCTGAAGGAATCACGAAACATCTGACTTTTTATTGAGCTCTGTGGTAGTCACATGTAGTCACGAAGCCATGTAGTCACACCAGATAACCTTTATTTGGTGAGCACCAGTTAAAATACCTTCCAGATGCTATCTGTCACAAAAGTGAGATGATAGGGCCCAATCAGCTAAATTCTACATAGAATTATCAAACATCAGTTAGATGTAAACACAGTGCTCTTCATTTTTTAACTCAGATCTATCAAACTCTAAAGGTCATTACCATTAACATCTTAGGAGGCTGATTTAGAGGTCTCTGAGTTCAACTTTTACGTAAAAGCAGAACCAATCTGCCTTCGGCAGCACTCCGTGAAGATTGCATGAATCACTTGTACCCGTCGTCTACTACTGGAACACTACTACTCACCCATAGCTCAAGAGGAAAACCAGTGATTAGGCTGATGCGGTGACTATCTTTTGGTTGCCCATTGTTTGGAAAACTATGGCTGCAAAACGACCGAGAATATGGAAGACAAAAACGGAGTGGTAACTCACTATGGACTGCGTGCTGGATTCACTATAAAAACTCCGAGGTACACACAAATAATGGAACACAGGACAGCAACCAGCCCGATGGCAGCAAACCGGCTGACAAATTTGATCCCGAGAAGAACGCAGCACATGACAAGAATTAGCAGAACTGTGCCATAAATCCGAGTATTGTTGAACAAAACGGTATCCGAAGTGATATCACCGAACAATGAGGCTTGAGGACACATGTATTTCTGCAAAGGATATATAGAGTAGCATGCAAACACAAATTCTTGATTCCATCATAACTCCGTATCTAGCTAAACAATCATATGCCCTGGGTTATAGGCGACACATAAGAGACAGCTTGTGAAAAGAGTAGTAGAAAAACTGATTTTTCACAAGTGCTTCGTTTCTCAGTAAAATCCCACTATACTGTTGTATTGCAAACCACTACAGCTGGAATAACATTCTATTTCTCCCGAAACGATTGAACTTTATGTATATATATATGTATATATATATATATATATAACAGAGACGCTGAACGAATAAATTGAATTGGATTAATCAATGTCGGTCAATATTGCACAGATGAGTCTTAGGTGTCCCACAACGTAAATTGCAACTGCCCAGAAATTCGTATTTTAAATCTGAGGTAAAGTGTGAGTGCCATGTGCTTACACTCAAGAAGAGCTTTTGAGGTAACTTTACCGCTACAAGAAATCGAGGCCTACCGTTTAATCGAATTTCAGATCGATCGAACCGAACTCTGTTCTTTCTGGTCCGACGGGAAATTCTACGAGTCCTGACAGACTGCCTTTTTAGTGAAGTTATGCCGAGTGAATGTTCGGATGTAAGATTCTATAGATCTCAGCTAACCCTGGTTGCTGCAATCGTCAGATACCAGGATAATCCAAACGGTGAAGGATTCCGCTTAGCCCGTGAAATGATTTGTGCAAGGTGGAATTAATTCATGTCATACTATATTTTATCCGAGAATGGAAACCAATTTGATTTGTATACGGAACAGAGGGAAACGGAGGAAAACACGGCCAATTTTGGCGGTAATCGGTTCCCATCGCATACACCATTAGGTGACTTATCAATGCAGAAAACTCCAATACAAAGACACAGTCAACATATTTTAACAATCGCGCGAACTAATCATGCTCACTTTGCTCTAGATGCACTATGCAAGACGGTTTAGGAACAAACCATGATTCCCAAAGTCTATATGTGACAAGAAACGTTGGGCCTTTGTGAAGAACTAAACTGAGCTGAAAGGCAGAATAACTTCAAAGGCTTCGTACATTTGAAGCAGAAAAATGTTCTGTTACTGATTCATAAGAGATCAAGGAAATCAGTTACGTGACAGTCACAACTGAATAAACGCGAATTAAGATCCACAACGAAGTGATTATATCCAACCACATCTTCAACCAATAAGCCCGTAAGTAGATTGAGCAGGAGCAAAATCTGTCTAAAATGAAACGGACACATACGACCATAGCGTTAGAAGCACGAAGAACTACTAGTGGTTTAGAAGCCGATGTATGGAACTTGGAACAGGAGCTTCCAGTCTGTGCACAAAGCATATCATTCACAAATCCTTCCGTTCTGGACGCTCGTACACATTGAACACATAAGGGAATGTCTTCGTCAACAAACAAAAGTGCACGGCTAGATTCGGTTGAAAATTGGGTGAAAATTCCCTCGTTACTAACATATGGCCAACAGTGACCGAAAACCCAACTCAATTAAGGCCACTCTTTACAAGGAATAAGATATTATTCCTTCATGCGGACTAGTGGATAAAAATAATAATCCTCGTAAACTCTCGACAGAAAGTTTAGTTGCTGGTTTCCAGAATGAAATAAATGTGGAGGTAGACATCCATTTATTGATTAAAGGGGTGTTATCGGAAGCAAGCAAACTATCCCATGTGGGATAGTTTAATGATAGTTTAATAGATCTTCGCCTTATCCAAGATTTGACGAAATTCATCTTACCAAAAGTAGAAAAAAATGAGACTGGGTCTTTGAAGGCTATTTCATTCAGATCAGGATCCAGAAACGCGTCCAGGTATTGTATGCGGGGAGCTGCCTCCAATTCATTGTTTCTTTTTAGTGATTTCCTCTCATGTGAAGTGTGCTTCGGAAAGCTACGACTGATGTGCTTGGGAAAGCTAAGACCGGTGCGTTAGCGGCTTATTTACGGTGCCGATAGTTCCACCAAAATAGATAGTTCATGTGATTATATTAAAGAGATACTAGTATGCGCCGTTTGAGTGATTTTTTTCGGGCTTATTTCTTGTAATAACCGCGTACTTGTCGTACAGTATTTGTAGCTGCTACACGACCGATTATTTGGGGAGGTGGGATAGGTAGCTGAGCATTTTAGCCGGTAGCTAATAAATTAGTGCGTAAATACAGCACTGTGGGTGGACTGTTAAATGGGGGATTCGGAAGGGGGTTATGCACTGAAGGCAATAGCTTGGATGCATGAGCGCTGTTGAAGGCCTGACTGGGCCATGTCTGACAATGTATCTAACCATTGATATGGCTCGTCTCGGGGTCCCCATCCAGGAAGACGGCAATGACCAGCGCAGCTGAATGATGGTGTAATGGTCACCACTAAAATAGGTCAAACGACATAAGCTTTGGTGAAGGCGGTGAGAAAAGATAGAAGAGAACGGTAATTTTTGTTCTGGGTCTTCGATGAGAATCCACGAGGTATAATTCAATTTCAAAAAAATGATCCGTTGCACACCATCAACCCATCTGTCTACGGCGTAGTATCACATAAAAACAGATGCAAATAAGCTAGTAATAAAGTGCCGTAATCGCATTTAATACTGCCAGAAACCACTTGGAGGCCTTCTCTGACCTAATGTTATGGGTGGATAGAAAGATGATGCAAGTAGCTGCTAACACAGAGTAGTCTAAACATTTGGTCAAACTGATGCACTCACCAGGAAAACCTCTACGGCGCCCACAAGATAC